CCCCCCCCCCCCCCCACGCATACTTCAGGTGAAACCTAGCACCCACTAACCTTATCATTTTTATCATTGAGATTGCATCTCTGGCACGAATGCACATACAAAAATCAGAGTACCCTGGATTTCACATTATCGGCAATCGTTCGTTTTATTCAATATTCTTCATGTGACACCTTCCACAAGTCATTAAAGTCATTAAGAGTGGGAAATAATCTGAATCACTAAAGACAATCTTGTTCCGTGAAGCTCTTTAGGGGAATTCATCTGTTGTAGAATCAAGCATTCATTTTTCAAAGTCAACGTATCACTCACCACTTGGAAAGCCCGGAATTCGCAGCTATTTCATGCACATTAAGAACCATCATTAGTCCACATTCATTGAATCCACGGGGATTTGAACACCGTCACGAGGAGTCGGTAAACCGACAATTTAACCGCTTGGGCTATCCGGGGTCGTTCTCAGCTATTGGCTGCATGACTTAACATTCATCCATCATTGTGGTCGAATACACCGGACCAACGCGGACAGTGATCGACTATTTAAGGCACGGCTTCTCGGAAGAGTCCTACCACAGTTGAGCAGGAAATTTCCTGGTGATCCCTTACTTTGAACGAAATTGAAGGAGCAGAGTTACTTCACATGTAAAAACACTGCTGGATATTCGGAGAGGATAACTCAAGTGGTTGGTGTAACGGACTGACATATCATACCCGAGGTTAAATGTCAATGGGTCAGCTCTGCTGATAACTAATAACAATGGTGAAACAGTTGAACAGTATTAACAAAACTTTTCGTGTTCAATCAAACGTAAACTCTGCATAGGATTTCACTTTCTTTAATCTAGTTTGAATTATTACGGATAGCGGTTTTTTACAATTGGTGTCCAATCCAGAGTGGTAACCTCGATCCTTTGTTTTCAAAACAGGTCTTTTTGAAAATCGAAAATCGTGGGAAATCAAACGTAACGGAGACGAAGATCTGATGATAAAACATGCATTCCGAGAAAAAGAACTGGCAATCTGGTCACATCTCCTACCGCGTATAGCTGGCTTAGGTCCCGACCCCGAATCGCACACGAAAAATCGATCAGAGAACGGGGATACGAAGCAGCCACAGAAGAAGCAGAACGAAACCACGGACAATCTAAGTGAATGCTCGAACAGTGAGACATGGGCACCGAACGCGCAGAGCTATGAAGCGCATCTTTATTGGCTCAATTTGCGACAAAGACAACGGCATGAAGATGAAGCCTCGCTGAACGCCTCCATGCGAATCCTGGAAAACACGATCACAGAGATGGTGTTTCATCGCGAAAGGATACGGGAAAACCGAAGTTTTTTCTTCCGCCTCTCGCACAACTCACATGGCGAAAATCCGGCACAAGAACCATTGCAGGAAGAGGTAATTTTAACTTTCTACTCGCTTTAAGATAACGTGAATCACCAATCACCAATGACAAACTAACCATACAGCAGCTGTGTTCACTCTGTTTTATGGCTACCCACTAGTGTGTGATGAACAGTTGAAGGGTTAAATCCCATAGTCGCGAGGACCTACTGCTCACTCACTCGTGGCAACCGGCAACCTAAGCCCCTGGACTTGAAGTGGCGAATCACCCACACAAGGTAACATTATCATAGGCTAGCTAATCAGCTGGGTTTCAGCAAAACCGTTTGCGGTCGAGAACCAAAATCGGTGGAATTCGAGGACAGTTGTCATAAAATTGCACCTATTTCCGCCTATTCATTGAAGAGTTAAATTAGAATATATGAGTGGACCGACAGTTACGCACTTAAACATCGGGATCTCCGGACTGAGGATTATGGCTTTCAGTGGTCCACTCGTGATGCGACGAAAGCCAGGCCGAAAAGCAATAGAATATGGCTGTCAATTTGAATGGCATACGGAGAACGAAAGATATTATGAATATAACGCTTATCATGTAAATGCGGTCTGTACGTGATCGGAAAATAGATCCAAATGCAACTTAAGTTTGATTTGCTTCATTCACATTGTAAACAAAACTATCTGAGCAAAGGACTACCGGATAAGTATATCCGAAGGGCTACAGGGACAGCGCAAAGCGATCGTGTAATTCTGGGAAATTTTGTTTGGTTATTCATTTACTACTTACTATAAAATCACTGAAAATCGGCCCGAGTATCAAATTTTCTGGGGTTACACCCATTGAACACAGAAAAAGGAAGACAGGATCAAGGTAACACTTCTTAGTGTTCGAACTGCAGGGATTTAGCCCTCTGAGATGCAAATGACGTTTGTATTGCCTAGTATTCTAATGCTTGATCCATAAGCGCAACTCCACGTGAAGCAGAAAGCTAATTGTCACCCCATACCTCCGTTCACAGGAATCGGCTGTGATCGATCGCGGACCCGTTCAAGTGACCAGACTTCAGGATTTCACACAGCCTGGAGCACACCGACAACAGTCTAAGGACAACAACACAATGACCACACGATCCGCTTTGTTGTGGACCATCACTGTGGGATCTGTTCTTTTTTTGTTAAATGCCCTAGTTTTTATGGGCATCTACTATCAAGCACGTCATATGCGGTGTAATCCACTCCAGACAATCACCGTCAGTGCGAAAACAAACCGCATGGACCGTGAAGACACCCGTGCGACGCCCGATGACAAAGGAACCACTGGATGCTACGGATCTAAGAAATCAAAATGCGATTCGTCAGATCACTCAGGTAAGACAGGTTTTGATTGATAATAGGGATCTAACTACGGTACGGTTTCAATCTGTTGTTCTGTTCCGCCAAATGGTCTTCATTGACACACGTCAATAAATAAATGAAAAAAGATTAAACTTCAAGTAATGTTCGTTCGAGGAGCCCTCATCTCCACCATTTCTTCGAATGGTGTGCTCTGAATAGGACTAATTTCCTTCTCCGATAAGTGCGACGGATCAGCTTATCTAACATAAGTATTTCCAGCAGTAAGCTTAGCGACTTTTCTCTAATTGAATTGGCATTCTTGTGAACAAAGAAACCTGGTAAAGTGTGCGTAACTCGTTTGCCCCCGCCATTTGTTCACTGACCCATGGGGTGAGCAAACAATTCAAACAGTGCACGATAGTTGTAAGTTTCCGAGGACATACTTAGCATTCATCGCAGATTTGATATGAGGACAATATCGTACCTCATGTCTACCTCATTCGCTGTGCAAGTTCACTTAAGAAGACGAACAACTTTCGACATTAATGTTGTAGGTGTATGTGACTGGACAGGTTGTGATATTTTGTCACTATCAGGGCTATGGTCACTCTAGTAGCGTCAAAATGAGAAATTAACGATCATAGGGAATATAATAGTATGCGATCAATAGTATATGGAAAAGTTGGTGATAAATGAACTACTTGAATGCTGTCTGACGAACTCGAGTCAGTCTGGATGCAGTTAGTCAGAAACATCGCCTTCGGAAGACGGTAATTGCTGTTTGAAGGAACTTCTTAGAAAACCGATAGAATGCATTACATCAACATGTCGGTACGAAATGGCGAATTCCTATCAGCCCATCAATTAAGATAGAGAGCAGAAAAAAGTTTCTCATGTACCAGAATTACTAAGGTGAACCTACTCCAAAAACCGATGATCCCACGATGACAATACAGCATGCCACATCATAGTGAAGCGCTTTGAATTCACCTCTCCAGATCACATGTTGCTCATTTTTTTCTCATTTCCCAAAGCGAATAGGTCCATGAGCCCTAAAGTCATGCGGACACGGAAGAGATTTTAGCCTGATCCATGTACCCAGGGCCGATGTTACTGCGTGGGTGGAAAAGCATTTCCGTGATAGCAGAGTTGTCGCGCTCCCGTTAAACGCCTCTGGGCACAAAGAACGGAGGTCAAACGCCTAGTCGGGACGGCAGCAACTGTGGCTAGCATGTACACCCGGATGCACTTGGATCGGTTCAGTGAAACTTAAGAGCTTCACATAGCAACCAAAGAATAGCATTCAAGATTGACCCCGGAACGACCGGCGTGGATAGTGGTCTTTCAAAGACTTCCACCGATGACTACCTCGTCTGTTGCTTACTAGTTAAGCAGATGTGTTCTGGACACACTCCGCATTGACTTGCCTTGACAGAAACACAATTACGTCACAGCTACGTGGTGTGGGGCAATGGATAGCGAGTTGGACTGACCATCCTACAGACTTCATCTTCAGGCACGATAATCCCCAGTCAACCGTGCAGCTTGCCAGTACGAATCCAGTAGTAAGATGTTTTACAATTCCCACTGTTGTCTCGCAGTCACACGTCAACCTTGTCCCCAATTGAAGGCCAGAACAACTCACCTGCGAAATCCGTCGTCCGCACGAGAGTTCCACTCTCTCTTTTAAGTCACTCCATTTGAATGAATTAATGGGTCAGTGTTCAGTGCTATTACTATATCTGATCGTAGTTACTGTAGTAAAATTTTGGCGATTGAGCTATCGTCAGTGTTCGAACAACTACATCCAAATTTGGGTTATATGTAGCTTGTAGTAAACAGTGTCACCCATTATATTCATCGATGTGGAATCAGCTTAATTGTCTCGCACAAATCACAGCTTCATCGGCCAATCGAATCGATGTCTACTTGATTCAACACAAAAGGCGTGCAACCAGTCGATCAATGTGTTGAAAGAAAACGGATCCAACCCGAGTTATGATCTCAAATTCAACTTATGTTACATGAGAGTAACGGAGGATTTCAAAGAGAGAATTCGTCGTGTATAGAGCTAATGAATCTTGAACTGAAAAGCTAAGAAGCACTGTAAAGCTATTTCGACCTGGTTGGATCTCAGCAGCAGTGCGAATCCATCAACCAACTGATGTTCTTTCAAAAGAAATGATTTGACGGTTTTTTATTTGAAGTGATGATTTTTAAGATTGAACTTGAAATGATACAATTGGTCTTACGGTGGTTAGGTACTCTCGTGGAACAACATATGCTGAGCCACTTTCAAGGTTAATCTCAATTATTATTCTCATTAATTTGTTAGACAATGACCGTCGTGTAAACTTTTGTGACGTCTAGTTAGCAAGTCACTCTGACCAGATCCAGATACATTACAGTAAACCACGCCAACTAAATTGAACAAATTCATTTTACACTCAAAAACCTATCCTCGTGTTTTACATCCTTGCTTAGGACTACAAGGCGGGAACCTATACTACGGAGATCACCTTATGGATGCAGCGCAGAAGTGTCCTACCTCGCCTAATCCATGTGTTAACGAAAACCCACCTGGACAGAATGCTTCACTGCGACATGGGCAACCCGTATTTGGATCAGTACGTGGTCATCAGACTTTGCTTTTGACCAATCATGGCACGGCTCAAGAGGCAGTCAACTGGGGCATCCAACCGCCCCGGTTCGGACTGAACGAATACGAGCGATTCGGAATACGCTACACTTAAATTACCATGTGAAATCTACAGCCTGCATTTGTTTGTTGCAACAGATAACACACAACAGCTGCATCAGTTATATCATGTTGACTTGTATTCTATCCACATATATATATATATATATCGTGTCAAACAACCCAAGATGTCCTTGTATTCGTTCATCCAGTGTTATGTTCTTCCTTCCATGTGGGCAGCAACACTATTACGCCGAGTTTTGTCGTGAATTCTTAGTCANCCCCCCCCCCCCCCCGGGGGAGGCACTTGCAAAGTAAGCATCTTTATAAATATAGTCTGTTATCTTCCCCAACAAAATGCAACGATGAAGTATGACAAACATGCAGATAATTTAATCTGGTCAAGAATTTGAAAAAGGCACATGGTACCTGCAAATGTGTGCACGCACGTGAGAAGGACATCAAAATGGATGTCCAATTTTTTCATATAGTGATTCGAACCAACGGTTCCGCACAGAGGCCAAAATAATGGAAACAATCAGTGCGAGCAGGAATGGAAACAGTAGCATAAGAACCATATCTTTTTTCATAGAGAAACGGGGATTCACACCTTCGCTGCTTCTCGGAACAACAGTGGTAGTGCTGTCAAATTTAGACTGCTTAAAAGTTCGCAGAGATCGCGGTGGACAACGCCGATGGGCCTCACTCAGATGTGCACGTTCTATCTGATTTCGGTTGGCATCACGGGCTAACTGGGCAGCTTGTTGCACAACCTGTACGACCTCGGCTCCGGTGTAGCCGGCTAACTGCTTGGTGGCAAAGGATTGTAACCAATGTGCAGATTTTTGCAATGACGGATCAGTTGCTTTACGGGACAATTCAAGACACAGGATAGATAGTCGTGCATCCGCATCAGGTGGTGGAACCTCAATCACCAAATCAAAACGACCGGCACGACTGAGAGCCTGGACAGAAAAGAGAGGAAGAGTGAAAACCGGTTCCAGAAAGAGTGGAATGCGATATATCATGCCGAAATTGGTTCAATTTAGTTCATTCTTATTAGGTACTATAAGACGATGAAATTAAAGAAAAATAAGGAAAGGAGAAACCGCTCCTAAGATTAAAAACACAAAGGACTTGACTAACAATGAAAAATAAATAAATAATAATACTAATAATAATAATAATCTTTCCCGGTACTCTACTTGATATTCTACAATTCAACTATCAGCCTATATTTTTACCGCTGAAAAGGAAGACAATAGTCGTGTATATTCATTAAACGATCCGAATTGAAAAATCCATCGAATGGATTACTACCAGTGTTATAATTCCACAAGACGGTGTTGGTCGAGGATATTCGTTTATTGAGGATTTCAGATGGGATATCACCAATTTGCCATACATCACGTAAAACATCTCATCAGAAACATACCCTCGCCGTTCCCGGTGGCACATCGAATAATGCATAGGGCAGTCGATAGTTATTCTTTCAGACACATCACTTGGCCCTCGCTGGTCTTGTTATGTTTTTGATCATTGAAAGCTACCTGCTACTCACAAGTGAGTAGCATCGCACAACACCAGTAATTGTTCTTCTTTCACAATTAAGTTGTAAACTGTAGTGGTAGTGGGACCCAAATTCCATGGAGTAACTGGCATTGGTTTAGTCGCTGTCACCAGCGTGCTATGAACCCTATGGTCTGAGGTTCCAGCCCAGCCACCGCCATCGCCATCGCCACCCAACTTCGGTAGTGGGGAGCTTTGCTGTCACGCGGTTCAATACCACGCCTAGGCTAACGGGGCCTAATATATCGTTCTTCCTAGGGCTTCGGTTACCAGTTGTCAGCACTTAACAACATGTCTTCGTGACCAAAGAGTCCGCTCCGTTTGCTATTCATCACACACTGGTGTGTAATAAAAAAAATATGAATTCAGTTTTGGGCACAAACTGATGACATTGATCGGAAAAGGGTGGTGACATGAATGGAACGACTGTCAAACTATGCCCCGCAACCATACACTATTTATGCGGGACTGTGTTAACGATTAGCGTCATGGATTTACCCACGTTTTAATCCAGAAAAAACATCAACCACTGTGTAGTAGTCGTCTCGACCCAGAGGCCGGAGGAATCGGGTCAGTTCAATGATTTGCATAGTGAAAATGAAAGCGTCAAGAGACATTAAACAGGGTTTTTTTCACTTCAGTGATGCCTCAGTTCAGTTCAGTTTGAACAATCATTAGCCATGCATATTCGTGCGCCGGTTTTGGTTGCTGTCTTTTGGCTGCCAATTTGGATGAAGAATAGGAGAAGGAAAGTTGAAAGTGGAGTCGGACAGAAAATGGAGAAGTTCAGTGGTCTAAGGTTGCAAAGTTATTGAAAAGATGCACGAACGCCACTGGTTGCGACACCCAGCCATATCACTCAGTGTCTCTAACCATCGGTTACGATCATCCCGAGGTCCCCAGTTAGAGAGCCTAATGGGACCTATGTGACCCAGTCTCCTGGTTAGGGTTTTCATACCCTCGTGCCAGGTCTGGTAGTGCCTCATAAAAATCTGAAAAATATTACGCAACAAGATTTTCTAACTCAGTATACAAAAACGTTCGGAAAAAACAGCTGTGATAATGCTGATTTTTGCGGTGAACACAGCAACTCACGGAATCTAATTTATCCATGCGATTGGTAGCCGCGATGAGAATGATTTGACCTGACTGACCCTCCACACCGTCCATCGCAGTCAGCACCTCCCCCAAAACATGCTCACTTGCACCAGTTTCACTGTAAAAAAAAAAGACGAGTGCAATATTAGTGTGATCCGGCGAAGGAACCATACAAGCGAAGCGTAAGGTGAACGTATTGATCAACGCTAGTATCCACATGCAACACGACGATACATGAATGGAGAATTGATTGGGGAAGAAATTTTCACAAGATAAGATCAGAGACGAGTAAAAATTCTCCTCCATGTGAAGAAATTGGTATTAGTAGATGATACCGAGTTCCGGAAATGAAAACATTCCACTGAGAAATTGCAGCTAAAGAAATATCTCAATTGTAAGTTTGGAAAGTGAATAAGTCAACAGAATAAGGTGAAAGTTGAATAAGTGCCCGTTCCCGCGACAAAAATGTAACTTTGGAACAAACCTTTCTTTAGAGCATTCTAAACTGGCATGAATTACTGAGTGCCAGGTAGTCTAACAAAGGCGGAAGGGTGTGTAGCTCCATCCAAAGGTATAGATCAAAACTTTGGTATTACTCATAAGTAACGCATAATTTATAGAATTACTTTGTTTGATAAAGATGAAAATCTCCTCTTTCTGTTACTAAAATAACAGATTCACCAAAATCGCCAAGAGCTATAGCCTACTGAGAGACTCAACAACCTTTTTAAATCAAATTCCTGTTATACATGATTATATTACGGGACGCACACCCTAACCCAGTTCTGTGTAAATCTAACACGTCCCTCAGTAACTCCTTTAATCTCGCCAAGTGGTGCTTCCTTTGAATTTTTTCTAATAAACCATGAGAAGGAGGAAAGCAAATATAACAACACCACGACACTACAAAATTACGCCACACAAGTGAACTTATAGTTGCGATCATGGTGAATTCTTTCCGGGCTGGGTCAACTTCAAAGTTTCATCGCTTCTTTATTCTTAGTCTATCGATATTACTTTGGGTTTTGTTCTAGTGAGCTTTCCGCTTCTGTCCCTCTCCCGCTTGCTCTTCCTGGTAGATCCCGCACACAAGCGGCTAGCCACTCATTTCAAGTGATCATTCTCAGGTATTGCATCCATAACTTTCATTCATCTTTTTCCCAAGAACAGCACAACTGTGGAACAATCTCCCCCTTTTAGTCTTCCCTCCAACGTACAACATCCTTGCCTTTAAACACAGAATCAGAAAGCTGGTTCTAGCTTGAATGTTCCACCCCCCACATACAGTTTATGCTTAGGTTATAGGATTTATCCTTTTTTACTGTATTCACTTGTGTAATAAAAAAATTTATAATTTCACGTTTATCTTGACCCTTAGAATAATTCTAAAACTTAACTATGAAGATATCACATCACATGGCTTTACTCCACCGTTTAAGCGGTTTGTTTGTGTTGGATTTTGTGATATAGGCCAGTATTTCATCAAGTCCTCCCGAGAAAGACTCAACAGTTGGTGTACAAACAAGGTGAAACGGGACAGTAGCCCCCGTGTTGCACGTTCTAACAGCAAAGGATTGATGGTGGTATTTCAGTTGGAATTTTTGAAGCACAAATTAAAAGGACCTCCCCCGAGGTTGACGCTGAGTGACAGCGCGAGCAGTTTATGGCTTGGGGATGTATTATTTAATACACCAAAACCGGGATCCCTCTAATTCAACGATAATGAATGGAATAAAATCCTAATGAATGTAATCTCTCCCCATTGATAACGGAACGCGATTCCTTGACCATCCAGGTAACTTCCCTTTGTGGACGTTCCAGCATCCTAGGATCGCATTTTAGCTAAGGATTTCAGGTCTGGATGACACAGTATGTAGGGTCGAATGCACGCTGATAGCAGATGTGGAAATAGTGCTCACTTAAACCAACCAAAGTGACATTTCTCACAGCTGCGGACGAAACCCCGGTACAGTTGATCAAAAAACAACGATGCCTAGGTCTTTCGCACGAGAGGTATACAACCGTCTTTGATTTAGGAGAGAATAAGGAAATAGATCCTTGTGTATTTGGAAACATGGAATCCAACCTCATTCTTCGTAGCCCATTGACAGGTGTTTCCTGGAATGCTAGCGAGCTCTCAATTCGCTCCGTATTTCATATTCTAGCATCGCCCGTAAACAATATTGTTTGTAACCCTAGAAAGTTCGGTAGACCGTTTATGAATCTGAGGAAAAGTCAGGAACATATACCAGTTATCGTGGCATACTCGATCGACATGCTCACTGGTTTTTCGAGTATTATGATCGATCCACGAGGAAGACAAACACTTTGTGGAAAATGGTTGATCTTCGAGAGAAAACGGAAGGTGACAGTGAAAAAATTGAGACAGTTCACAGAAGATAGATGTCCATGGATTTTGTGATTCATTGAAGGGTCGATAATTCCGTATGAAATATATTCTTGATGAAGCACGTTCGTTTTATGTATTGGCGGGTCTTGTAAAGGACAACAACCAGAGGCAGAGCAGGTGAAAACAAAATAGATTACTGAGTTACGGTTAATAGTTGCATGCAAAAGCAACCTTACTAATTAGCCAAAGGTGGTCCGTGCATCAATAAAAGACAAAAAACATGCAATAAAACATAAGAGACGGTCCGTAAATTCGCTCAGCAAATTCAAAAGTGAATAATAACGCTAGCAGAGCACATTCTTTAGTCACGTTACCTGGAACTACGAGAAGGCAGAAGTAGATCTATCTCGTCGATGAACAGGATTGCAGGGGCTGATGCACGTGCCTGCACGAGAATCCGACGCATATTACGTTCGCTATCACCGACATATCGTCCGAAAATGCGTGACGCCTGCACAGCAATCAAAGGTAATTGGCACTCGGTAGCCAAAGCGCGGACAAACATAGTTTTCGAGCAACCTGGAATCATAAAATGTAAAGGCACAGAACACCACATTTAACTACACATTATATATATA